GAATTCAAGAAAAAAGCAAATTTGAATTTGCTGCATGCCATTGAATCCATGTGAAGTGATGCGTAGACATCATATTAGGTGTCATGAGTAATTTAGAGATGATTTAGAGTATATGAGAGGATATGTGTACATTACATGCAAATATTATACCATTTTATATAAAGGACTTGAGCATCCATGAATTTTGGTATCCATAGAAGGTCCTAGAATCAATCCCTCATGAGTAGAGGCAACTGTACCCCTGCTTTGTGCTGCTCTAACATCCTGTGCATTCCTTTATCAGAGCACTTACCACATTGAATTGCCACTCTGGTTACCAACCACCCTAGTTTGTCTCGCCCTAATTCTAATTCTGTTCACTTGCTACCACTTACACTACAAGCCCCTTGACTCCATGGACTGTTTCTATCACTGCTGATTATTATTTCCATTATACATACTGTCACTCTTACCATTTTCTTTTTTTATGGAGAGAAAGTCCCACTCTGCCACCCAGGCTGAGTGCTGTGGTGTGATCCTAATTCACTGTAACCTTGAATTCTGAGGCCTGCCTCAGCCTCCTGAGTAGCTGGAGCTACAGACATATACCACCATGGAGACGCCTAATTTTTAATGTTTTGTGGAGATGAGGTCTTGCTATGTTGCCCAGGCTGGTCTTGAACTCCTGGACTCAAGTGGTCCTCCCTCGTCAGCCTCCTCAAGTGCTGGGATTACAGGAGTGACTCTCTTGCAATCTTTTTTTTGTTTTTTCTTTTTCAATCTTAACTCATTTTAGTCATGAGATTATTAGAGGATAGTAGAAAACATGTAAGCGGAAAGGTCACTGGTCCTATCAACAAGTACTATAGATAGCTCCCACTGTGATGTGGTTTGAAGGATGTTAAAAAGTTATTTAAAATTATTTTGGTTACCAGACTGTCAGAGTGCCGGTGAAAAACTTCTCCGCTAGCTTTTTAAGTGAAACAACACCTTGATTATTTAATATATTAAGATGATTTTTGTTTGTGCTTCCCTTTAGTGCTCTTTGTAACTTTGAACAGTTGTTTAAATACTGCTGTTTAATATTGCAATCCATCCCATTTCAATCCCATACTCCCCTACCCTGCCCTATTTGTTATATTTTCCAAACCACAAATCATCTTCTAACACGCAGGTTGAGTATATTTCTTTATTATGTCTATAGTCTGAGCCCTATTCCCCATCACCACAGGATAAGGATCTTTATTTTGTTAACTAGCATATCTAAAGTATCTACAAAAGTGCCTGGCACATAATAGATGCTTAATAAGTATTTGTCAAATGACTAGCTCTGCCAAAATGAGGGAAAAGTCCTCTTTTTGGGACAACTCATTCTAATTATTCACAAAATGAAAATTTTACAATATCAGCAGAGGCCATTTACTACCTTGCTTGAGGATAAAAATAGCATTCCCTTTCTGGCAACCAATTATTACTTTCTTGACTTTTTTTTTTTTTTTTTTTTGAGGCGGAGTTTCGCTCTTGTTACCCAGGCTGGAGTGCAATGGCGCGATCTCGGCTCACCGCAACCTCCGCCTCCTGGGTTCAGGCAATTCTCCTGCCTCAGCCTCCTGAGTAGCTGGGATTACAGGCACGTGCCACCATGCCCAGCTAATTTTTTGTATTTTTAGTAGAGACGGGGTTTCACCATGTTGACCAGGATGGTCTCGATCTCTCGACCTCGTGATCCACCCGCCTCGGCCTCCCAAAGTGCTGGGATTACAGGCTTGAGCCACCGCGCCCGGCTTATTTTTATTTATTTTTTTTTTTTGAGACACAGTCTTATTCTGTTGCCCAGGCTGGAGAGTGCACTGGCACGATCTTGGCTCACTGCCTCCTGGGTTCAAGCGATTCTTCTGCCTCAGCCTCCAGAGTAGCTGGGACTATGGGTACTCACCATGAACCCCGGCTAATTTTTGTATTTTCAGACAGGGTTTTGCCATGCTGGCCGGGCTGGTCTCAGACTCCCGCCCTCAAGTGATCTGCCCACCTCGGCCTCCTGAAGTGCTGGGATTACAGATGTGAGCCACCGTGCCAGGCCCTCTGGACAATTTGTTTAATTGAAATGTTGAAAACATGTCAACAGGTCCAGCACAGTGGCTCACACCTGTGATCCCAGCACTTCAGGAGGCCGAGGTGGGTGGATCACCTGAGGTCATGAGTCCGAGACCACCCTGGCCAACATGGTGAAATCCCCTCTCTTCTTAAAATACAAAAATTAGCCAGGTGTGGTGGCCCATGACTATAGTCCCAGCTACTCAGGAGGCTGAAGCAGCAGAATCGCTTGAACCAGGAGGTGGAGACTGCAGTGAGCCGAGATGATACAACCGCACTCCAGCCTGGACGAACTCCGTCTCAAAAAATAAAAAATAAAAGAAGTCAACATAGTGTCTAAACAAAGAAGAACTTCTAAAAGTAATTTCTAGATATTATATAGCCTCCTTCCTTACTGCAATGTGTACACAATGTCTGGGAAAGCGGCATGCAGATCTTGGTGACATTTGTCCAAAAGCCACAATAATTACATCCTTTTTATTTACAGCTGTTTACAAGAAAAAAATAAGTATTCCTTCCTGTCTTCAGGGTCCATGAAGAGGGGCCCTACAGACTTTCAAAATTCTTAAAACAGTAGTGTTTCTCAAATTTGCACAGTACACTGCAGTAGCCAGCCTCTAAGACGGTCCCCAGTGATCCTTGCCGCCTGATATTTACATCCTGGTGTGGTCCCTCCACCAGTAAATCAGGGTTGCTCTGTGTGACCAACAGAGGAAAGAAGTCATGGTATGTTTTCCAAAGCTTCATCATAAAAAGCACTGCAGAGTCTGCCATGTCAGTCAGTCACCTCAGAAGCACATTCTCCAGCCCCAGTCAAGCCTTTGGATGACTGCTGCCCCAGCTGACATCTTCCTGCAACTTTATGAGACCCTTAACCAGAACTCAGCTCTCAAATTCTTGACTTACAGAAATTGTGAGAGGTAACAAATGATTATTATTATTTTAAGAGTTTTTGGTTAATCTGATAGGTAGGGACAGATAAATATACAAAACCCTTTTAAAGTAAAAACAAAGATTTCTGGTCCTAATGAGTTAAAATCATCTATATTCTTTTACTTAAACACAAACATGTGGAATAAACTCCTTAGGCTTATAGCTTTTGTACAACTATCAAAGCAAACAGATGATCACATTAAATATAATACAGCAAACAGGCTAGGCATGGTGGCTCACACCTGTAATCCCAGCACCTTGGGAGGTCAAGGTGGGCAGATCAGGAGGTCAGGAGTTTGAGACCAGCCTGGCCAACCCCATCTCTACTAAAAATACAAAAATTAGCTGGGCCTGGTAGAACACACCTGTAATCTCAGCTACTTGGGAGGCTGAAGCAGGTGAATCACTTGAACCCAGGAGGCAGAAGTTGCAGTGAGCTGAGACCGTGCCACTGCACTCCATCCTGGGCAACAGACTCCATCTCAAAACAATATATAGATATAGATAATTTTTTTTTCAGCAAACAATATTATAAAACAAATAAGATGTAATTGCAACAGAGGGTTGGTTTGCTGAAACTACTATGCCACTCATTGAGACAATGGCAGGGCCTGGGGAGTCTACTGCTGACTGTTCAGTTAGTTACTCAAAGTATTTTTGTCCCTTAAGCCTGTTTGAGGTGAATCTTCTATCATCCAAGACTTTTTCTCAACAATACAGTCACATTCTGTTTCCACAACTTGTGGAAACTTTAAAAAAACAACAACAAACAAACAAACAAAAAAAACGCGACCAGGTGCGGTGGCTCAGGCCTACAATCCCAACACTTTGGGAGGCCCAGGCGGGCGGATCACTTGAGGTCAGGAGTTCCAGACCAGCTTGGCCAACATGGTGAAACCCCATCTCTACTAAAAAAAAAAAAAAATACAAAAATTAGCTGGGAGTGGTGGTGGGTACCTTTGTAATCCCAGCTACTCGAGAGGCTGCGGCAGAAGAATTATTTGAACCCGGGAGGCGGAGGTTGCATTGAGCCCAGATCGCGCCACTGCACGCCAGCCTGGGCGACAGAGAGAGACTCCGTCTGAAAAAAAAAAAAAACAAAACAAGAGCGCCCCATAGCCCAGCCGCTCGTTCTCATCCTTCTTTCCCATTCTCACCCCAGTGCCCTCACCGCCCGGTCCCCGCTTTCTCGGAGCCTCGGCGCGGGCCGGGAGGGCCAGGAGGGTTCCCGCTTGGGGCACAGCCGCACAACGGGGGGCTAGCATTGTGCCTGGAAGGCGCCCTTCCCCAGGTCCCCGGAGCCCACGTTCTCCCAGCTCGCCCGGCTCCCGTTTCGCTCCCAGCTCCAGTTTGAACCCGGAGCACGTGCAGTTCTACCCTGTTTGGCCCATCGCCATCGTGCTCCAGCCCCAGAGCACAGAACAGGGCAAAGAGCCGGGCGGGAACCCACTACACCAGAGCTAGTCCCTGATGTTTCACCGCTCCAGACTCCGGCTTCCTCGCCCCGCGCTCTTCGGGCCAAGGAGACGTCAGCAGAATCCCACCATCCACAGCAAGCGAACAAACGAGGACCCAGAACAAAGGAGCTCTGGGTGATTTCACACAAGAGCCACTCGGATTTCCTTCAAATCCGAGGCAAACCGCAATCTTAGTCTCAGCGCATTTCCCTTCGTGGCTGGAGAAAGCCTCTGAGCGCCGGATAGCCGGCACTACCTCCCCTCGGCCGTGGGGTGGCAGCAAATGTCAAGAGGAGATGCGCATGCTCTGTGTGGGACTTCGCGCTTCGCTTCCGCGGCCGCCGAGTGACGGAACGCATGCTTAGGATTATGGGAAATGTGGTTTTTAAACGTTAGCATCCCACGGGCGCCCCCTGCCTGGGCCAGGAGCGGGACTTCAGCTCCCGGCCGGCCGGCGGGCGCGGGTGGGAAAGCGGGAGGAGAGGGCGGGGCGAGTGGGAGAAAAGGTGGGAGGAGCCGCAGGAAAGGCTGGGTGGAGAGGGCGGGGCTTCGGCCGGCTAAGCCGCCGCCGCCGGCGGTCTGAGGAACCGGAGGAGCGGGGCCGGGAGCCGCGAGGAGGTCCAGACCGCGCGGAGCGCGAAAGCGGGCGTGCTCGAAGTGGTCGCGCGGGCGTTCGCCGCCTCGCCTCGGTCTCCGCACTTGCAGGTCCCCTCCCTCTCTGCCGGGACGCGGGAGAGCCCGGTTCGCGGCGGGGGCGGCCAATGCGAAACTGGCTGGTGCTGCTGTGCCCGTGTGTGCTCGGGGCCGCGCTGCACCTCTGGCTGCGGCTGCGCTCCCCGCCGCCCGCCCGCGCCTCCGGGGCCGGGCCTGCAGGTGAGTTCCCGGGGCCCGGCGGGCGGGCGGCCCCTGGGGGCGAGAGGCCCGGCTGCGTGCCGCGGAGCTCTGCTGGGAATTGCTGGAGGGCGGGGGGGAAGGGCCGAACGCGACGGTCCCCGGGCGAAACAAACGGCTCTTTTCATCCTCGGAGCGTGAACCTCGGGCAAACTTGAGGGAGCGTTTCTCTTTTCGTGCCCTCGCGGCTCCTCACCTCCCGGTTTCCCGTGACGGCCGCAGCGCGGGCCCCCGCAGCTGCCAGTCCTTCGCCCGTCCGCAGGCCTGGGCGGTGAAGCCCGACGCCGCCCGCTCGCCCGGGAGGGGAGCCTCGGGTGCCCTTCGGCCTCCGGCGCCTGCCGCTTCGGAAGCTCGGGCTCTGAAGTTGGTTTCTTCCTCCCCAAGTCGTTGGTCTTTTCTCGGTCAGGACTCGGGTTTTAGTGCCGTGGATAATGTGTGTGCGTGTTTTCAGAGGTCGCCGGGTTTTGCTTTTAAGGACTAACTTTGCTGGAAGAATACGCTGTCGTTCGTATTCTCGGATCGTGATGTCAGTCGGTGAAACGAATCTAGACGTGAAATAGGGCATGGCCGCGAGTGGAGTTGTTCTGGGAGTTTGGTTCGCAGAGCCTGCTAATGCCGTTCATACGGAAATATCAAATTCTTTAACGATCATGTCCATTTGCTCTAAAACTTCATCCCTCTCGGGAATGAAACCTTTGTTCTTGTTTCGCTTCACAGCCTAGTAGAATGCTTTACTCGCAGTGGGTGCCCCGTGGATTATTTCGTTCATGGGTTCCACCACCCTGAACACGACTTCAGGTTTCCCTATTCTGTCTTCTTCCTTAACTTGCCCTAGGACATAAAAGAAACCTAGAAAGCGCTTTTAAAGATGATGTAATATTTTGTGACTATACCGGGACTTATTTTTTCCCCTTCTCTCTCTCCAAAACAGCTGTTTACTTATCCAAAAGTTCTTAAAATTGGAATTATTTGCAGTTCAGCACTCTATGCCTTATAAGTAGAAAGTATTCGGCAATCCTCAAAACAGTTTCGGTTATATGAAATTATATTGAGGTTATTTTGGTAACAGTCTCTTTTCCTATTAGATCACCAGCTCTTTGAAAAGGGTTTGTGTGACCTGAATAGAATTACACACTATTTAAGTTATTTAATGACAGTATGGTGCTACAGTACTCTTAACCAGTTAACGGGTCAGGGTTTCGTTCAGTGTTGTTTTTTAGGTTTTTGTAAAGTGAACTGAGAAGAGAGTGCCATATATTAAAACTGCTTTGTAACATCTGTTTGTGTGTTACAGGTTTCTCTCTTTCGTTGTGAGTGAGCCCAGCTGGAACCTATTACAGAGCGTCCTTAGTATATTTATGACCTTAATGGTTGTTTAGGGTTCAGTAAAACAAAAACCCTGCCTTCAAAGTGAATTCTTAGTAGACTTGTTAGGCAGTCTCTTAGTTTGAAACAAATTTTTCCTACTCCCTTACTGCAGATGAAGAATAATACCTTTATTTGCCATCCAGTTAGACTAGGCTAGATCTAGGAAATGAAGTAGACTATAGAAAAGGACAGGGTAATAATGTAGGTAAGAAGATCAATACTAGTTATGTGAATTTGGCTTTGAATGAGTACTGTGTATCTGGTTAGATAATAAGGTTGTGTTTTGTTTTTTGTTAAGTTCCTGGATATGTGTGTCGAATCTACAGGTTTGTTACACTGGTAAACGTGTGCCCTGGTGGTTTACTGCCTCTGTCAACCCATCGATATTTTAATAATCTAAATTAAACATGACTGGCCAGATGCAGTGGCTCACACCTGTAATCCCAGCACTTCGGGAGGCCCTGGTGGGTGGATCACCTGAAGTCAGGAGTTCAAGACTAGCTTGGCCAACATGGTGAAACCCCGTCTGTACTAAAAATACAAAAATTAGCTGGGTGTGGTGGTGCACGCCTGTAATCCAGCTACTCGGGAGGCTGAGGCAGGAGAATCACTTGAACCAAGGAGGCGGAGGTTGCAGTGAACCGAGATCGTGCCATTGCACTCCAGCCTAGGCAACAAGAGCGGAACTCAAAAAGATTAATTCATTCATTAAACATAACTGACTCCTACCTTTCTTTTTTTTTTTTCTTTTGGTGCTTTCAAAACTAAAAGCATGGAAGGATCTTAAATGCTAACATTTCCCATAGTTCCTTTACCATTGTGCTCTCACCATGTTTAAACTAAAATCGCTGTGTTTACTTTTTAACCCTTATACTTTAAGCCTAATGGGAGAGAAAAAACCCAAGATTTTGCTAAGTATTCTTTTGCTGGATTAATCTTTTAAAATGTTTTTCTTCTTCTTTTGCTTTGTCTGTCTTCAGTCTCATTAAGTCATGGCAGTTTTTTTTTTTTTTTTTTTCTTAAAGAGAGATTTACCTTCCCTGAATATTTAAAAAAAAAAAAAAAAAAAAAAAAAAAAAAAAAAAAAAAAAAAAAGCTCTCTGGCCGGCAGTTGCTTCAGCAAATATTTGAGAGCCTACTGTGTGCCAGCTCCTGTTGTAGGTATGGAATTAGAGCAGTAATCAAGGTAAACTCCCTGCCTTCAGGTAGTTTACAAATTAGAAGAGGAGACAGAGCATCAGGAAATAATTATAACTATCACAGCGGATAGTGATAAATATGGTGAAAAAAGATAAAGCTGTGTTAAGAGATTAAAGAGGTGGCTTTTAAATAGGTCAGGGAAGTCCCTTCCGTTCTGAAGAGAGAACAGTTGAGGAGGGACCTAAATGAAGTGAGTGAATGAGTACCAGAATCTGCAGTTTTTTAATGTGATGGCTTCCCTTAAACCAGTGAGGGAAAGAGGAAGTGAAATCAGCACACCTAAGAGTGACAGAGAAAAATGGAGGTGGAGATAACCATCAAACTAAGAAATCTAAGCATAGGATATCTTGGTGACAAAATACTCGTTTTGGGAATGCCCTAAGTAGGAATGATTTAATGGTTAATTTAGAAAAACAATGTGACAGAAGAAGGCACCTCTTTCTAGTGTATCTGGAAAGAAAGAAACCAAAAGAAAGCAGCATCGTCACTCAATAGATACATAGTCACTCAACATAGCTTCTATGCTGGATGCCTAGTCCCTGCTCTCAAGGTGCTCACAGTGTCTAATGGAAACAGACACAGGGCAAGTAGAAGGTCGAAAAACAGACTGAGCTTGCTTTGTAATTTTGCCTGGGGCAGGTTCTCCCAAAATTATCCCTCTATGCTAATCGTGTCTCTGTGCTTCACTTTCCTTATTTATAAAATTATGATCTCATAGACTTATTGTGATGATTCAATTAGTGAAACATGCAGACCAGTGCCCATTTCCTAGTAAACACGCCATAAGTTTTAGACAGGAGTAGTAGTCTGATGGCAGCTGATGCCCGTGCTAGTGTGGTGTTTTGGGAGGTGTCTTTGGTATTGTGTATGATAATTGTCCTAATTGTTAGATCTGTGATCGAGTTCCTTTTTTTTGAGACGGAGTATCACCCTGTCACCAGGCTGGAGTGCAGTGGCATAATCTCGGCCTACTGCAACCTCTGTCTCCCAGGTTCCCCTGCCTCAGCCTCCCAAGTAACTGGGACTACAGCTGTGCACCACCACACCCAGCTAATTTTTTGTATTTAGCAGAGACAGGGTTTCACCATGTTAGCCAGGATGGTCTTGATCTCCTGACCTTGTGATCTGCCTGCCTCTGCCGCCCAAAGTACTGGGATTACAGGTGGGAGCCAAGGCACCCGGCCTTCGTTTTCAAGATTTGTATCTATTTGTGACTGATCTCTTCCAAAGCTGCATATGAGAGTAGAATTTTTGTTTGATTTTTAAGACTCTTGGGCTTACTTTGAGCAATCAATTTTGATGTCAGTCTTCCTCAGACTTCTTTATTTTGAGACATGGTTTTACTCTGTTACCCAGGCTGGAGTGTAATGGCAAAATCTTGGCTAACTGAAACCGCTGCCTCCAGGTTCAAGCCATTCTCCTGCCTTAGCCTCCCGAGTAGCTGGGATTACAAGTATGCACCACCACACCCAGCTAATTTTTGTATTATTAGTAGAGACTGGCCATGTTGGCCAGGCTGGTCTTGAATTTCTGACCTCAAGCGATCTACCTGCCTCAGCCTCCTGAAGTGCTAGGATTATAGGCACGAGCCACCACACTGGGCCCTCCCCTAGACTTTAATGTACTTTTGGATGTCTGCTCTCAGTGCAGTCAGGCAGGTTGCCAGACTCTCAGGATATATTACATATTAAAGAAAATACATAGTCCTTACTGTAGGGTCTCAGAAAAAAACTATACCCCAAAATAAGGCCTCAGAAGCAGCTCTCTCTGACCTGCTGCTGCTGTCCTCTCTCTGGCTTCGAATGCTCACCTGAGGCTAGCCATAGAAACTAAAATTCCTCTTCCCCAAAGCCAACGATTAAACATAAAAATATTACTCTGACTTCCCCACCACCACCTTTCTATATAAAAATTACCTAGTCTACCTTCTTTGATTACAGATTATAAGAACCTGGCTCCTATCCCATACCCAGAAGAAAGGACTATAACTCAGGACAAGAAGACTCCAGACAGACAGGCAGGCTTTGCTGGGTTTTCTCACTCCGTCTATTAACATTAGTTCTTACCCTTTCTGTCCAGTCTTATCACATAGCTGTTCATACTTTGTTGAACCTAAGCACAGGAATGGGCAGTTTCTCCTGCATCTTTGGGTCTTCATTCTGAAAGCTTCCATGTCATATAAAACTGATCAAATAAATTTATGTACCTTTTTGCCTATTAATCAGTCTCTTGTCAGTGATTTTCACTGAACCTTCAGAGGGAAAACGTTCCCTTGGCCCTTACATTACCCTCAGGGAGCTTGCTTGGGATTTTGATTTATTTATTTTATTTATTTTATTTTATTTTTTTGGAGACGGAGTTTCGCTTGTTACCCAGGCTGGAGTGCAATGGCGCGATCTTCGCTCACTGCAACCTCTGCCTCCTGGGTTCAGGCAATTCTCCTGCTTCAGCCTCCTGAGTAGCTGGGATTACAGGCACGCGCCACCATGCCCAGCTCATTTTTTGTATTTTTGGTAGAGACGGGGTTTCACCATGTTGACCAGGATGGTCTCGATCTCTTGACCTTGTGATCCACTCGCCTCGGCCTCCCAAAGTGCTGGGATTACAGGCATGAGCCACCGCGCCCAGCAAGGGATTTTGCTTTATTGCTGACATTATGAAGATTTTGTTTACTGCTCTATCTGTGCCATCTAGAACAATGAGCATAGGAGATGCTCTATCATTTGAATGAATAAATCAAGAGAATAAAATTGGTGCAGCTTGATATATTTTCACAAATTGGTAACACCCAACTAATCACCACCCAAATTTTAAAAAAGAAAACCATCAGTGCTTCAGAAGTCCCCTTCATGCTGTGTGTTCTGTTGCTGGCAGGGATGGTAACCAGTGGCAGAAATTTGACTACTTCTGTACTTTATATAAATGGAACCGTCTAGTATGTACATAGTTCCTACAGCCTGTTTATCTTAATATATTAATAGAATAATGTTTAATGATGCAATTAACATGTAATTTTAATGACTGCGTGGTATTCTGTCATACAGCTACATCGTTATTTAACAAGTCCCTTATTTATGCGTTTAGGTAGCTTGCAGTTTTTCGTTTTTGTTTTTGTTTTTGTTTTTGTTTTTGTTTTGAGACGGAGTTTTGCTCTTGTTACCCAGGCTGGAGTGCAATGGCGCGATCTTGGCTCACCGCAACCTCCACCTCCTGGGTTCAGGCAATTCTCCTGCCTCAGCCTCCTGAGTAGCTGGGATTACAGGCACACGCCACCATGCCCAGCTAATTTTTTTGTATTTTTAGTAGAGACGGGGTTTCACCATGTTGACCAGGATGGTCTTGATCTCTTGACCTCGTGATCCACCCGCCTCGGCCTCCCAAAGTGCTGGAATTACAGGCTTGAGCCACCGCGCCCGGCCAGTTTTTCGTTATTCATAGGTGACACTGTGATTAATAAAAATTTTTGTATCACTATTTCTTTAGAATGAGTTCTTAGAATTGCTGGACAAAGTTATACCGTTCTAAATTATTTGACATACTTTGCCAAATTGCCCTGCAGAAGACTGTACCAAATTACATTCCTTCCAGCAATGAAAGAGAGTACACTTTCTTGAAATCACTAACATTTCCGTGAAGTACCCATCATTTAGTTATTTAAGAAGACATTTGTCAGCTTGAATGTAGGAGAAAACTGGTATCTCGTTGCTCTAATTCAAACTTGATTCCTAGTGAAGTTGAACATTTTTTCCATAGGTTTGCTATTTACCTTTCTTTTGTGAATTATCATTATGTCCTTCTGTATCGTGTTTACTTCTGAGCACTTTTTTTCTGTTTCTAGACACCAGAATCAACTAGGCACTCTTTTCTTGTAGCATATAACAGAAGGTAATAAGAGTTTAGAGCCAAGTTGGTAAGGGGAGCTAGGAATTTGAGCAACATTCTTACCCAAGTATTTATTATCCGTCTACGTCGGGTTTTGTACCGTGTGACACAGTAGTCAGGAGTCTATTGAACTAATTTACATTAATGGTATGTGGTTTAAAAAACCTGTATTTCTGAAATTTGACTTCAGTGTATCTGGAAGTAGTTCCCTAAAAGACCACAATATCCCGTGTTACTTCCCTTCTGCAAGAAAAAGAGAAATGCATGTAAAGTAAAGCAGTTGAACAGAAGCAGCTTAGACATGGATTAGAAGCAGGGAAGATTGACAGTGACAGAGAGGTAGAATAAGATCAAAGTAGTTTACATCCATAATCTGTGGAGTTTTCACATGCCACATGTTTATCTTTGTACTTACTTATTATTTTTAGAAAAATCTTGTTTGGCAATAATATGGAGAAGTCAGGTAAAAACCAGTTAGGAGGCCGGGCACAGTGGCTCAAGCCTATAATCCCAGCACTTTGGGAGGCCGAGGCGGGTGGATCACAAGGTCAAGAGATCAAGACCATCCTGGTCAACATGGTGAAATCCCGTCTCTACTAAAAATACAAAAAATGAGCTGGGCATGGTGGCACGTGCCTGTAATCCCAGCTACTCAGGAGGCTGAGGCAGGAGAATTGCCTGAACCCAGGAGGCGGAGGTTGCAGTGAGCCAAGATCGCGCCATTGCACTCCATCCTGGGTAACGAGCGAAACTCCGTCTCAAAAACAAAAACAAAAACAAAAAACCCAGTTAGGATGCCCTTGTCCTGGTCCAGGTGAAAAAACAGACTTAACTAAGCAGCAGCTAGAATTAATGACAAAGGGATAGATTTGAGAAATTTTCTCCTTTTTTCTTTTTATTTATTTCTCTTTTTTTGAGATGAAGTTTTGCTCTTGTTGCCCAGGCTGGAGTGCAGTGGCATGATCTTGGCTCACTGCAACCTCTGCCTCCCAGCTTCAACAATTCTCCTGCCTCAGCCTCCTGAGTAGCTGGGATTACAGGCATGTGCCAGCATGCCCAGCTAATTTTGTATTTTTAGTAGAGATGGCATTTCTCCATGTTGGTCAGGCTCATCTCGAACTCCTGACCTCAGGTGATCCACCTGACTTGGCCTCCCAAAGTGCTGGGATTACAGGCGTGAGCCACCTCACCCAGCCTAGATTTGAGAAATTTTCATGAAGATTTTGAGTCTTTAATCAAGAAAAGATTAAATTATGTTCTATGTAATCTATTTCTAAAAGATTTTCTTTGATTAACCATTAAAAATAAGGTAGTCAATGTTTTGGCATTAAAAGGGATTTTTGAAAATTTGCTTTTGTGCAGCATCCTTATTTTCTGATGATGTCAGATAAATGAGGCATTTAGATTAAATGCAATTTTTGCTCTACAGCTTTTAATCTTCTGAGATGAGACTTTGAAACAAATGAAGTAGAATATCCAAAGACTTTTTTGTATCAGTTTTCTCTAAGAAGCTGAAGCACAGGGATTTAAATATCTTTTTACTAAAGCAATACAAAATGTTGGCTATGGAATCAATGTCAGAACTGGCTGGTCACCACTACCTTTGCCTCCTTCCTGACACTAGAATGTACTTAATATTTCTCTTTGAAAAAGGTGAGGAGTCATATTGTCAATTTTACATAATCATTTAAATTAGTCTCCAAATTCAGACACTCATTTAGAGTGAGTTCCAGCACTAGGTACAACTTACATCACACAGTTACGTATCTGAGAAAAAATGTTCTGAGCCATGAGATGAAAAAAACTGATGTGTTAACCAGCATGTTCAGTGATCTGCTTATTGCTAATTCAGTTGCACTTGTATTATGGATAAAAAGATCAGAATTTAGACTCAGATAAGCTATATTAAGCTGTATAGCTATAGAATAGAACAGTGATAAAGAATGGAGTAAGATTGCCTGGGATTAAATCTTAGCCCAGCCATTTCCAAGCTGTTTGACTTATGGCAAGTTACTGAATTCTCTGTGTGTTTCATTTGTTCAACAATTACCTACTTCATAGGCTTGTGAACATTAAATGATATTCTATATGTAGTGTGTTTCACAGATTAGGTGTTCAGTAAACATGGCCTATTAATAAGCTTACTCTGAAAATTTGAATTTATTTAAAAATAAATTCTGTCTTTATAAAAGAACTCATTTTAGTACGAGACTTATCGTAGGGTGAAATAATAAATACCTCTATTCCATTTGGAATGGAACATTCTAAGAAATATATTTATTGTGGAAAATAAAGTACACAAAAATTTCTGTATTATAATATCATTAAAATTATCCTAGTAGAAAGATCTATTTTTATTAACTGGGACTTTGAAAAAAAAGATCAACGTGGTTTTGTTGTCTTTTAAAAAGACTGAATACTTAGATCCCCTGGTATATAAAAACATTGCATTTAATGTAGTAAAGATTCTGGGCTTCAATAATATATTTTTGGAAACATTTTGGATCAGTTCCCACCACTGGAGAAAGAGATGAAATGGATACCTCATCAGAGCTATATATAAGCTTGTAGCTCTCAGGCCTTAAAACTGGTGATGAAAAACAAGGGCAAAGTATATCTTTCTCTTCTGTCTTCTAAGGACAAGTTTTAGATGGAAACGTAATCCTGCCCATTAGACCTTATGATGCTAAAAAATGAGCCGTTCAGAATGACTTGTTACTTTATTTTCTTACTAAAAACGTTGCTTTCCCGTCATTCTTTAGAATATTTAGTAGGTAGTAAAAGATTTAGTGGCCATAGAATTCATTGACATAAATAAAGGTTGCATTACTTTCCACTAGGGAAGTCCCTCAACTTCATCCCTCAAACGTAGTAACTTACATGAATGTAGGAGTTCTCTTTTCAAAGCAATTTTTTTTTAGTTGCCATTGAATGCCTCCTATATGCCTAATACCAAGCCAAGACCTTTATACATGTTATCTCATTTAACTTTTACAACAGCTTCATGAGAAGTATTATAACCATTTTGTAGTTAAGGAAACTGAAGCTCAAGAAGCTAAGTAACATATAGCTAATATACAGAGAGCCCAGATTCTACCTGTGGCCTGAGTGACTCCTACTGCCTACTATTATATGTTTTTATGCTACATTGCATTTTGAAACAGATTCTTACCACAGACATCTTGTTTGTTTGGAAGAATTTATATACTTATGTGAGCATGAATACATACATATACAGGGAAGACAAAAAGACCCTACACCAAAATGTTACTAGTGGTTTTCTCTGGATAATGGGTTTATATGTGATGTAAATGTTTTTTCTTTGTATTTATCTGAATTTCCTACAAACATAAGCTTATTTTGTAATAAACTTATGATACCTAGTGAACTTCACAGTAATTGAGACATGACTTATTTCTGATTTATTGTTCTTATTCCTAGATCAGTTGGCCTTATTTCCTCAGTGGAAATCTAGTCACTATGATGTGGTAGTTGGCGTGTTGTCAGCTCGCAATAACCATGAACTTCGAAACGTGATAAGAAACACGTGGCTCAGGCATTTGCTAAAGCATCCCACATTAAGTCAACGGTAGGTTTTCTGAGTTGTTACTTTGCCTGGTTTATTGAAATAAGGGTTCTGAAAAACCTAGCGAGGCATGGTGGTACATGCCTGGAGTCCCAGCTGCCTGGGAGGCTGAGGTGGAAGGATTGCTTGAGCCTGGGAAGTTGAGGCTGCAGTGAGCTGTGATTGTACCACTGCATTCCAGCCTGCACGATGGGAGTGAGACCCTGCCTAACTTAAAAACAAAGTTCTGAGAAACCGTATTTTGAATAGAAATGTTCATTCAGATATGTGGCCTCTTCCTGGGAGAAATGGCTGTTTTATTTGCTTTTCTTCCATATAGTTTGGGCCAAAAAGTAAATTTAATGAAGATTTTAAGCCAAATGATAGTTGGGAGAGAGTATATTCATTGGTTAACATATGTAGTATTTAGATACCCAGTGTGGTTTGTTTGTTTTCTTTAATTTAGAATAGCAATTCTTAAAAGGTTCTATTCCAGAACATTTCTCTGCTTAGACACATGCACGTGTCTAAATATACTTTTCACTAACTTCACAGAGATAAATTTAGTTTTTTTCAGTTTTGTAGTATTTTTTACTTGTGTGATCTGCAGTATGTGTAATATGCCATGCTCTTTTTTCTGACTACCCTTCCAGAACTGAGCTTTGGTAATGCATCTCATGCTGACATTAAATAGCTCTCAGTTGTTAGTTAGGGGCCCAAAGCCTTAGTCTGTTCCCAGTGAGACCCGCCTCTGAAGACTCTGTGGTGAGGAACTAGGGGAAGAAATGCATGGAAAGTTTCTTTCTTTCTTTCTTTCTTTCTTTCTTTCTTTTTTTTTTGAGATGGAGTTTTGTTCTGTCACTCAGGCTGGAGTGCAGTGTCACGATCTTGGCTCACTACAACCTTCACTTCCTGGGTTCAAGTGATTCTCCTGCCTCAGCCTCCCAAGTAGCTGGGATTACAGGCACCTGCCACCTCGCCCAGCTAATTTTTATATTTTTAGTAGAGACAGGATTTTACCATGTTACGCAGGCTGGTCTCGAACTCCTGACCTCAGGGGATCCTCCTGCCTCGGCCTCCCAAAGTGCTGGGATTACAAGGGTGAGCCACTGAGCCCAGCCTACTTGTGAATTTTCTTGTCACTAGGAGTGCTTACTCACAGCAGCTTTCATTCCTTTTCAAGACGAGTTTCCTTAGTCCATGGTTGCAATAATAGTAGAGCCTATTACACAGCAAATGAAAGACCTCAGAATCATCACTACTGTCAGAACCACGTCCAAAAGCTGTACTTTCTGTAGCCTTTCCCTGTTAGAAAATAATGACTCCACCACCAGTTGCTCAGACCAAAACCCTTGGTGTTATCCTGACTTTTCCTTTCATATGCCGCATCTAGTCCATCAGCATACCTTCTAACGCTGCTTAGACCATACCCAGAATCTGACTTCTCACCACCGTTCCACTACCATCTGATAATAGGCCACCACTGCTTCTCACCTGAGTTATTGCAGAAGCCCCCTTCTCTGAATTTACTGCTTCTACCTTTGACTCCCTACATTTTATTTTCCATAGAGCAGTCAGAGTGATCCTTTTAATATTAGTGAAATTATGTCAATTCTCTATTCATACTCCTTCATTGACCTCCTTTCTTGCTCACAGTGAAACCACAAGTCTTGATTGTGGTCTTTGACCTTATCTACATCCACTTTCCCTATACTGGCCACCTTACTGTACTTTCATACACTAAAAGTGCTCCTGCCTCAGGCCCTTTGCATTTGCTCCTTCCTTTCTCACTAGTGTCCTCGTCACTCACTTCTTTCAGGTCTCTGCTTAGATGTTACTCTAGCAGACAGCCCTATATTAAATAGTAGGTCAGCCCACCCCTGTCCTGTTTCTGTCTTCCCTTAGTCGGCTTTAATTTTTTTTTTTTTGTAACACTTCTCACCAACTGGCATGTATTGTATTTAGTTGTCAAATTGTTTAGCTTTCTTCACTTAAATGTAGGATTCATGAGCACTGGGGCTTCAGGTTTTTTCTCTGGGGTATTCTCAATACCTAAAACCTAGCTTGGTGCAGACTAAGGATTCAACAGCTATTGAATGAATGACTCGGAATTAAATGTAATGAGTAAAGTTAATATTTGGACATTCACTAATTTATTTGCCGTCGTAACAGTCTTGCTTTAAACTTGGTAAGCTTGATTTGTGTTATGAAAATGATTGGCTATTTCTATAAAAATAGGTATTAGGCAGAAACACCTTCCTGGGATACGGTAATTTTGTGGATCTAGTAAGAATATCTAGTAAGATGGCTAAAAAACCAAATTTGGTACATACTTGCAATAATTTAGTTAGCAGATTTATTCATTTCTATTTATACTTTTATTCCAAATGCTAGTTGTCTATGGAAGGTATTCTGCCTTAATTGGTTATTAGTAACAGAAAGTGTATTTCTGTGGTTATGACATATTTTCCATTCTTGGATTTCCCCAAAGGAGCCAAACTCAACGCTAAGTACTTCTGTAAGCAGATAGTTTAGTATGTGTGGTAGAATACAAAGATAAATACAGTATAGCCTGAGTGTTTGGGGGGGCTTGACATTTAGTAGAAGGAAATTAGGTGTAATAGTGTAAATAAAGAGAGGAGAAGAGGAGGGAAGCATTTGTCTGTAAGAGGCAGACAGTGAGCAGATCATGTAGAACTCATGCGGAGGGTTAAGTGGAAGGGTGAGATCTGTTGAGGCAAGGACTGCTGAGGGCTGATCTACAGAGGTGACCTTATGAGAGAATAAAGTCATTGAATATAGAAAATGGAGGAGGAAACTAGGAAGATTGCTAGTGTTCTGACTTGGAGAATAGTGGAATCATCAATCAGAACAAAAATACTGCGTGAGAAGAGCAGGATTCATGGGAAAGAAGCTCAGTTGTGGATATGTTGACTTTGAAGTTCCTGCAGGCAGTGATATACTGATAAAGATTTACTAACTGGCCCTCTGGGGAAAAGGATGCTTATATGTGTATACATGTTTATTATACATTTTATTGACATAAAGGATATACAGCATGTAATTGACAGACTCTCCTATCAATGACCAACTTGTGGTTACAGTTCTGGCAAAAGTCTTTTAAGTAAACAGTGAAGACTAAAGTGACAGCTAAGATATGTCAGCTTTACACTTAGTCAATAGTCAGTGACTTCTATGCTATATCAGGTAATAGTCTTTGAACACTGGAATCGTATTTCCTTGACTTTTTTTTTTGTACTATTCACTACGTAATAGCTATAGATAGGCACCTCACATTAAGCTTAATTTGCATTATCAACATTTTCTCTATACTTTAAGTCTAGCCAATCAACAAAACAACAAACCAAACCCTTATTTGTATTATTTACCAGTTTCTATGGTGTGAATATTCCCACCATAGCCAATTCAAGGAACTAATGTGACATCGCTGAGCACAGAGTGGGAGAAAGATAAGCAGTAGCATGCCGTATATACTATTTCCACCATGTAGATAGATGTAAGAAATATAAATGACCTCAAGATCATAGATAATAGCAGAATGTTTTAATAAGTGATTATTTTCTTTGTTTTTAATATATATTTAATTTTAAATAAAGGCTATGTTTAATAACCATCTCACAAAATTTCTGAAAAGTTGACAGTTGGCTCTCAGAAGCCAGTAGTAGCAGGCTTTAGCAAACAGCTGTCTGTGGGCCATCTAGGTAAAGATGTCCAATGAATTTACACGTCCTTTACTTAGAACCTGGGCCTAAACTAGAGTTACTAATTGAGGGCCCAGCACAGTGGTTCACGCCTGTAATCCCAGCGCTTCGGGAGGCCGAGGCAGGCAGATCACTTGAGGCCAGGAATTTGAGATCAGCTTGGCCAACATGGTGAAACCCCATCTCTACTAAAAATTTAAAAATTAGCCAGTTGTGGTGGCGCATGCCTGCAATCCCAGCTACTCAGGAGGCTGAGGCAGAATTGGTTGAACCTGGAAGACCGAGGCAGCAGAGAGCTGAGATTGCGCCACTGCACTCTAGCCTAGGTGACAGAGCGAGACTCTATCTCAAAAAGAAAAAGAAAAAGAAAAAACTAGAGTTACTAGTTGAAGAATCATTCTCATGCTAGTTGAAGCCTTGGGAATAAATAGTACTGTCTAGGGAAAGGAAGTTAAAAAAAAAAAAAATGAGTAGATTGAGAAGAGGCCCAAGAGCAGAGCCCTGGTCTAATACCACTTTCAATGGACAAGCTGAGGAGGAAGAGCCAGTGAAGATGACTGAGCAGGCCGCTGAAGGAAGGGAAGAGAGCATTTTAGGGAGATGGGCAATTTGGAGCCATGAGAAGCCAGGAGGGTAAGAGTTGAAGAATATCTATTGATTTTTAGCAGCAGCTCATTGGTTACATTGGTGGTAATCTCAGTGGAAATGGTGATGTTAAAGTTAAAACTCCTGTTTTATAAAATGAGTGGGAGGTAAGAAACGAGAGGCTGCAATTTTAATTTCTTTGTAGGACTTCAGTGTAAAGTGTGGTGGCAAGGAAGGATGGTAGGTAAAGAGAAATTAGAGTCAGGACTTTATCATGTTTATAATGTGAAGGGAAGGAGCCACTAGTTAATGGAGGTAACCAGTGAACCAAAGTCTAGGAGAAAAGGGAATTTCCTCTTGGATGGAAGGACCTAATCTTGAGCAAAAGGAACACCTTCTGAAATAGAAGAAGGCAAAAAGGAATATTTTAGATACAGATGTGTTTTTAGGTAGGGGCATGAGAAGCTGACTTGACCATAGTTTGCTTTTAAATGATACGAACATGCCGGTAGCGAGGCCAGACGTATTCATACTTGCTTTAATACACCATTGCAATAAAGGATTCATGTGTAAGTAACTTGGCAGTTATCAACTTTTAGTTTGCTTGTTCCCCCATTTTGCTAGACTAGATGAATAAAGGTAGAGAATTAATTGTAAAACACTTGTGTCTCAAAAGTAAAAGCTCTGAAATGGGCGTGAGGAAACGTGCATGTGCGAGGTGAAGATCAGTAACTGATGTTAATGCCAACACATCTCTCAGTGTGCTTGTGAAGTTCATAATAGGTGCTCATGGCTGTGAAGTGCCTGTGGAAGACAGGGAGGATCCTTATTCCTGTAAACTACTCAACATCACAAACCCAGGTAAGTCACCTTTTCCCTCGACTGCCATACTCAAGCTTGATGTTGAGTAAAAGTTGCTAAGCTTGATGGTATGGAGTCTGTTTTGTTATTTATTATTTTATTTACTTATGTTTTTTAAAGACAGGATCTTGCTCTGTCACCTAGGCTGGCGTGCAGTGGCACAATCATGGCTCACTGTAACCTCAAACTCCTGGGCTCAAGTGATCCTCCTGCCTCACCACCATGCTAGGACTACAGGCACGTGCCACAACACGTGGCTAATTTTTAAATATTTGTAGAGATGGGGTCTCACTGTCTTGCCTGGGCTGATCTTGAACTCCTGCCCTCAAAGGATCCACCAGCCTCAGCATCCCAAAGCACTGGGATTGCAGGCATGAGCCACCATTCCCTGGAGTCTGTTTTTAACAGACTAAAATGTCTTTCATCCAAATTTATGTTTTCCTCTTTTTTTTTTTTTTTTTTTTTTTTTTTGAGATGGAGTCTTGCTCTGTCACGTAGGCTAGCATGCACTGGCACCATCTTGACTCACTGCAACCTCTTCCTCCTGGGTTCAAGCAATTCTCCTTCCTGTGCCTCCAGAGTAGCTGGGATTATAGGCACCTGCCTCCACACCTGGCTAATTTTCGTATTTTTGGTAGAGATGGGCTTTCACCATCTTGGCCAGGCTGGTCTCCAACTCCTGACCTCACTGGAGTCAGCTAGGGAGGTAGTCAGCTGTTGTGATCCACCCGCCTCAGCCTCCCAAAGTCCTGAAATTTACAGGTGTGAGCCATCACATCTGGCATGTTTCATCATTTTTGACAGATTGACTTGGGGTATCTGTAGAGATTCTTTACAGAATTGAAACTTCAGGATCCAGGAGACTTTATTTTTCAGTGTGATTCACATATATTTGGAAGTTCCTTATGCTAAGACAAATCCTGAATTACCAAATTTTGAACTTTTGGAAAACTGCTGATTTTAACAGTTAATTTATAATAACCTTGAAGAAGTTATTATAAATAAATAGAAGAAACAAATATTGTGAATCAGCTTTCTCTTAGAATTATTGTCTAATTTATTTCTGTAAAAGAAACAAATAGTAAAAAAATTTAAAACACAAGTAACATTATTTGTGCCTTAAAATTAAAAGTTTGTAAAAATTCTGGTGAGGACAAAGAAGGCTGCTCCAGCACTTTGGGACACCAGTGCAGGAGGAGGAGCCCAAGCCAGCCTGGGCAACATAGTAAGTCCCCATGTCTGCAAAAAAAAAAAAAAAAAAAAAATTAACCGAGGATGGTTACTCATGCCTGTAGTTCCAGCTGCTTAGGAGGCTGAGGTAGGAGGACTGCTTGAGCCCAGCAGTTCGAAGCTGCAGTAAGCTATGATCTCAGACTGCTGCACTCCAGCCTAGGGGACGGAGCGAGACCCTGTCTCAAAACCAAAGAAGAAAAAACAACAAAGAAAGCTGATCCTAATTAGGTTCTCTGTGTGTCACCAGGGAACCAATTTTAGGAAGTTGATAAACTTATAACTCTGTGTTTATTAGTACTTCCTTTTATGTTCAGCTGTGTTTCTAAGGGAGCTTAAACTTCTAAGTCTTAAATATGCTGATTAAGACTTCTGGCATTTTTTTTTTTTTTTTAAGACTTCTGGCATTTTAAGGTTTGTTAAAACTGTGTAATTACATAACACCTCACTTTTATAAGCAGGCTCCATGGCTCTAAATCCAAGCTCTGCCATTTTCTAGCTGTGTGACCTCCTCTGCCTCAGTTTTATCACCTGTAAACGTGGGATAAAAGAATCTTCCTCATGGGGATTGACATAAGGGTGAAATAAGTTGATACATATCATGTATTTAGAATAGGTCCTGGAAGGTGGAGAGTACCTAACATTATTTAAAAGAGCCTGCCATTTTGTAAAGTTGGGTTTCAAACAGCTTTTTAAATAAATTGGACAATATATTCAGGTCTGTATTATAAAACAGGGGTTTTTTACTTAGGATCTCTATGAATTCAGTTAACATTGTAAGCAGATTTTATGTATGAATTGTGTTCAGTGTAGAAAGTCCTTTGGCTTTCACTGGAGTCTTAAAGGATCGTAAATCTTACATAATGTTTTATCACGTGATGATTCGGTATTCCTTCAACAAATTACAGTTGAAAATCAAAACAAAAAGAAGCCCTTCACTTTTAAATTAACCATACTTTTATTATCTTAAGTGCTGTTATTTATTAAAAGTAAAGAACTATAATTTTTTAATTAATAGAACATTTTCATATATGTAATACCCCTAGGTTATGAATTTTTTAAATGTGTATATAACTAAGTTAATACTGAACCTAATCTTATCTTTTCAATGATCCAGAGGGCAATTATGGTTATTTCAGTACCTGAAGGTTATGATAAGCATTACTCATGACACTGTGGCTCTGGTAGAAGGTTTGATTACAATAGCACTGTAAAGCAGTGGGATTTCCTGTGTCCACGTAACTTGAAACTCAAGGCACATTTGTTTTAGATAAGAAAATACCTAAAAATGCTATATTATAATGTGCTTGACATACTGCTTTTAATAAAGAGATTTCTAATATGGATATCTTTTATTTACTGAATATCTTTTTTAAAAATTGTATTGTTATCCATTATGTTGTAGTCTAGACTCTCCGGTTAATGCTTGCCTAGTCCATGACAAAAAACTGTGTTCTCCTTTTTTTCCCCTCCTGCTTATGCCTCTAATGAGGTATGAGTCATCACTTTGCTTTAGTCCCATTTTACTGGGCATCTACTGAGTGTAAAGAGCTTCTAGGAACTCTAAAGTGGGTATCCAAGTGATCTGCTAGAGTGTAGGAAGAAAATACAAGTTGTTTTTTTTTTGTTTTTTTGTTTTTTTTGAGACAGGGTCTCGCTCTGTTGCCCAGGCTGGAGTGCAGTGGCACAATCTCGGGTCACTGCAACCTCTGCCTCCCAGGCTCAAGCAATTCTCATGCCTCAGCCTCCCAAATAGCTGGGATTGCAGGTACACACCACCACGCCCAGCTAATTTTTCTATCTCTTGTAGAGACAGGGTTTTGCTGTGTTGCTCAGGCTTAGAATTTGTTTATCTGAAAATAAGAAAATACAGTCTTTATTAGTACTGAATATATATATTCACCACAAGATATGCATGTAATTTGTAAGTAAATGGCTGCATGTACAAATTTTTTAACTGATGGGGTTGTGTAGTCAGCAAAATTTGAAAACCACAGCTCTAAAAAACACAGAGAACTTTGATAATCTTTTAAAATAGAGTTTTATTAAAGTAGCACTGATATTCTCTGCCATATTAACTGCCTTATTTAATGTATCCTAATTCATTTACGGTAATTAGAAAATTTATTTGAAGACTGGGCACAGTGGCTCATGCCTGTAATTCCAGCACTTTGGGAAGCTGAGGTGGGAGGATTGCTTGATGTCAAGAGTTCAAGACCAGCCTGGGTAACATGACAAGACCCCATTTCTACAAAAAATTAGCCAAGCCTGGTGGCGTGTGCCTGTGGTCTCAGCTACCCAGGAGGCTGAAACAGGAGGATCCCTTGAGCAACGGAGGTCAGGACTGCCAATAAACCATGTCCATGCCACTGTACAGCAGCCTTAGTGACTGGATGACTGTCTCAAAAAAAAAGAAATACATAAATGAAATAAAAGAAATTATTTGAAAATAACTGTTTTGGCACTGATTAGACAGCCGTTGGTGAATAGAAAGAGGACTGACTTTGGAATCACTAAACTGGGCTTGATTCTTAGATCTGCCACTTTGTGTGACCTTAAGTGAATTGCTTAATCCCTTTGGGCCTCAGTTTCTTAATCTATAAAGTGGAGATAATGCCACAACCACAAGAGTAGTTGTGAAGATGTAAATGTGATAGGGAATGGCACATGGAAGGTGGTTCAGAACTGTGTCTGATATGCTTATCTTTTATCAGTGCTGTACAGGAAGAGTTTTTCAAACGTTATTTGAAGTGACTTTAGTTGCCTATTTATACTGTGATAATTGCCTGATGTATCACATATGTTTTAAATTGACTAACAAGGGCCAGGCTTGGTGGCTCACACCTGTAATCCCAACACTTTGGGAGGCCAAAGTGGGCAGATCACGAGGTCAAGAGATCGAGACCATCCTGGCCAACATGGTGAAACCCCGTCTCTATTAAAAAATACAAAAATTGGCCGGGCGCGGTGGCTTAAGCCTGTAATCCCAGCACTTTGGGAGGCCGAGGTGGGTGGATCACAAGGTCAAGAGATCGAGACCATCCTGGTCAACATGGTGAAACCCCGTCTCTACTAAAAATACAAAAAAAATAGCTGGGCATGGTGGTGCATGCCTGTAATCCCAGCTACTCAGGAGGCTGAGGCAGGAGAATTGCCTGAACCCAGGAGGCGGAGGTTGCGGTGAGCCGAGATCGCGCCATTGCACTCCAGCCTGGGTAACAAGAGCGAAACTCAGTCTCAAAAAAAAAAAAAAAAAAAAAAAAAATTAGCTGGGCGTGGTGGCATTCGCCTGTAGTCCCAGCTACTCGGGAGGTCAAAGCAGGAGAATTGCTTGAACCAAGGAGGTGGAGGTTGCATTGAGCCGAGATCACACCACTGCACCTCCAGCCTGGTGCCTGTCGACAAAGCGACACGCTGTCTCAAAAAAAAAAAAAAAAAAAAAAATTGCCTAACAAGAAGTAGGATTTTTGGAATTTGCGGAGTAAGATCAAACTTACTGATTATTTATGACTACAGTCAGTACTATTTTTATTATTTCTATTAAACCCTTCCAAATAGATGCCTTCCAGGTGACTTAAATTTAATCATCTCCTGTGGCAGTTATACATGCACACATGTATGCAAAAAGCTATTGAAGTAGTTCTGATAACTGATTTACTTAATTGTGGCTGAAAACTTTCTTCAATTTCAAAAATGTTTATATAGAAGCATCCATGTTTCTCAGGTATTTTTAAAAAATTCCTGCCATTTGTGAATTATATAGAAAATAATTACCTAGGTTTTGGCATTAATTCCACTTCACTGTTTCCTACTAGTAAAACAAAGGATTATATTTGTTCAGTTGTATAAACCTGTTCTCATTACTTAGTTTTGAATCAGGAAATTGAAGCATTCAGTCTGTCGGAAGAGACTTCATCAGGGCTCTCTGAGGATCGAGTTGTCAGTGTGAGTTTCCGAGTTCTCTACCCCATCGTTATTACCAGTCTTGGAGTGTTCTATGATGCCAACAATGTGGGTTTCCAGAGAAACATCACCGTCAAACTTTATCAGGCAGAACAAGAGGTATGCACTGCTTTGTACAAGTTTTTTGCTCTTTTTTCTTTTTCAAAAACATCAACTTTTTCTTATGACATAGAGTAAGTAATTAGAAGACTATATAATTCTCTCTGGTTTAAGAGACTTTCCCCTTCCTTCCGCTGTTGACTAAATACACTGTAATGTGATATAAGACTGGTTTGTGGATAGGCTATCTATGAATAAGTGTGCTATTGCTATATCTAGAAAGGAAGAAGTTGACTAGAATAGAAATCTCCAACCTAAAATTCCCTAAAGCCTAGGGAATTTCAAAAGTTGGTAATGGATGTAAAAAGTTCAGGACTGTTAGGATAAGTGAGTATTACTGTCTCTTTCTTCCAACTGTAAAAGTCCGTAATACAAGGCTAATAGTTGCTTCACATCTTTTTTTGTAATAAGGATGTGGAAGGAATTAAAGTTTAAACCATTGAGGTTTCTCTGTTCCTGATATGTGGGGAAATCTGATTTGTTCACAGAGTTTATCTGAAGGAGTAGCATGGAATTGTATTTGAAAGTTCTGATTTTTAATTTTTAACATGCAGAAAACTTGGAGGAATTATTTAGTAAACACCCCTATAGCCACTTAACTATACATCTACAATAGTTAACATTTTTCTGTGTTTGGTTTATCACAAAATATATTCACTCATCAACCTATGTTTTTTAAAAATGTATTTCAGAGTAAGTTGCAGTCATCAGTATATTTCAAGCCTAAACACTTCAGCATGCATATCATTAATTAGACTTTAATATGTTTATGGTTTTTAAAATTTATATACAGTGAAATGTGCATTCCTTTTTTTTTTGAGACCGAGTCTTGCTCTGTCACCCAGGCTTCAGTGCAGTGGCACGATCTTGGCTCACTGCAACCTCCGCTTCCTGAGTTTGAGTGATTCTTTTGCCTCAGCCTCTCTAGTAGCTGGGACCACAAGCGTGTGCCACCATGCCTGGCTAATTTTTGTATTTTTAGTAGAGACATAGTTTTACCATGTTAGCCAGTCTGGTCTCAAACTCCTGACCTAACGTGATTATACTGTATAAACTGGTATAACCCAAGTTGCTATCAAGATATGGAGCATATCACCCTAGAAAATTGCCTCATGTTTCTTCACGGTCAGTTCCTTCCCTGTCTCCCAGAAGCAACCACTGTTCTAATTTTTTGTTTCACCATAGAGTAGTTCTGGGACTTTATATATAAGTGAAATCATATAGTAAATACTCTATTGGGTAAGGCTTCTTTCACTCAACATCATGTTTTTGAGACTTGTCCATGATATTATATGATTGGCAGATTTTTTTTTTTTTTTTTTTTTTTTTTTTTGAGACGGAGTCTCACTTTGTCACCCAGGCTGCCGCGTAGTGGCATGATCTTGGCTCACTGCAACCCCTGCTTCCCAGGTTCAAACAATTTTCCTGCCTCAGCCTCCCAGGTAGCTGGGATTACAGGTGCATGCCTGGCTAATTTTTCTATTTTTAGTGAAGATGGAGTTTTGCCATGTTGGCCAGGCTGGTCTGGAACTCCTGATCTCAAGTGATCTGCCTTCCTTAGCCTCCCAAAGTGCTGGGATTTCAGGTGTGAGCCACTGCACCAGCCCTGGTGGGTGGTTTGTTTGTTTGGTTTTTTTTGGGTCTGTTTTATTCAGGACTTGCCACATTCCTAGTATCTGTAAAATATATGTCTTATACCAAATTTAGGGAATTTTCAGTTATTAATGTCCAGAACCTTTTCTGACTTCACTCACTCACTCTACTCCTCCTGGAATTCTAATTACATGTATGTTAGATCTTTTGGTATTGTCCTACAGATCACAGAGTGTTCATTTCAGTCAATGTTTTTTCTATTTTTCAATGTAGGTAACTTCCGTTAATCTGTATTCAAGTTTAGTGACTCTTCTGTCATCTCAAATCTGAAGTTAAGCCTATCCAATGATTTTTTTATTTTAGATGTATTTTAAATATTACACTTTTTACTTCTTCAGTTTCCAATTCGTTCTTTTTTACTGTTTCTATTTCTCTAAAATTTCCTGTGTGTTCATTGTTGGAGCATATTTTTCTCTACAGCTTTGACCATAGTTATAACAGCAGCTTTAAAATCTATGTATGGTTACTCTAAGTCATCTCAGCATCTGTCTTTATTGATTATCTTTTCTCTAAAATATGGGTAACATTTTTCTGTTTTATGTTTAGTATTTTGGGGGGGTTTTGGTTTGGGTTTTGTTGTTGTTTGACAGGCTCTCACACTTTTGCCTGGGCTGGAGTGCAGTGGCATATTCACAGTTCACTACAGCCTTGAACTCCTGGATTCAAGCTATCCTCCCCCATCAGCCTCCTGAGTAGCTGGGACTACAGGCGTGTGCCACCATAACCAGCTACTTTTAAAATTTTTTGTAGAGACAGGTCTCCCCATGTTGCCCAAGCTGGTGTCAAACTCTTAGCCTCAAGCATCCTCTTGCCTTGACTTCCCAAAGTGCTGGGATTACAGGTGTGAGCCACCATGCTTGGCCCTTATCTTTGCCTTGTATCCTAGATATTGTAAATAATTCGTTGTAGGAACTCTAGATCCTATTATATTCCTCAAAGAGTATTGATTTTTTGTTTGTTTGTTTTAGCAGGCAGTTAAATTGGCTGGACCCAGACTCTAAACATTGTCTCACTTGCAATGCAAAGCAGCTAAAATCTCTGTTCATTTTTTTTTTTTTGGCCTCGGATGGGCTACTTGGGTTCTGCCTTGAACGTGTATTTCATGAGTCAGCCACAGATTTAGGCAGAGTTAATATGAAGAATTTATGCCTCTCTCTCTGTGATCTTTTCCTTTCTGGGAGGTTCCCCCAACCCATTTTATAGACTGATGTGTTTGCCCCAACTCTGTCTTCTTAATTTTTCTAGCAGAAAGACTACAGATTTTCATTCAAATGTCTAGTTGCCCTAGACAAAGAGTTATACCCTTAAGACAAAGAGTCAAGAAGGGGACTAGGGAGAAGATGCATATTTACAGTCTTTTCCTTCTTCCAAGTACTGTTTCTTCTCCAGTTTCTACCTGTTTGTTTGAATTCCAGTGCCTTTAAATAATTATTTTTTATGATTCATTCAAGAGTTCATAATTATTACCTATCGGAGAATTGGTCTGATATTGCTGGAAGCAGAACTCTGTTTAGTTTTTTCAAAATGTATTGTTAATGTTGATTATTAGCAATGAAAACTGTTAGAAACTCACCAATAAATATACAAATAAATTTGAGATGAAATTTCTTTTTTTAATTTGCCCTGTTCTTCCTCTAAATAATCTGTCTAGTTTGTTGATGTGTTTATAGACATATATACAACACAGAGGGAAGAGTAGGATTTCTACTGATGATGCCAGCCATAATGATTACAGTGAGAAGAGCTTTGTTGTTACTCAACTATAGGAGTTCATTTATGACTGTAGTTAATAATTTCATTGATGCTGAGGATCAAATAGGTAACTGAAGTAACTCGATGAGTATCACTATTATCCTTATCTAGAAATTAGAATTAATCTTAAATTTTTTTTGAAACAATTGTTTAATCATCTTTGTATGACACAGTTTTAAAAAAACTATTAGCTAGGCATGGTGGCTCACGCCCCAGTACTTCGGGAGGCCAAGGCAGGTGGATTGCTTCAGCCCAGGAGTTCAAGACTAGACTAGGAAACACAGTGAGACCCCGTTTCTACAAAAAAAAATAAGAAAATAGGCAGCTGTGCTGGCATATTCCTGTAGTGCCAGCTACTTGGGAGTTTGAGGAGGGAGGATCACTTGAGCCCAGGAGGTTGAGGCTGCAGTACAGTGAGCCATGATCGCACCACTCACTCCAGCCTAGGTGACAGAGTGAGACTTTCTCAAAAAAACAAAACTATTTGTAGTATGTGAGTTATCAGTCAAATAGTTTGGTTCAGACTTGAAATATTTTGATCATGTTGTTATAACTTTTAGTTTCCATATTTTTAGCCAGGGAGGAGTTAATCTTTGTCCTCAAGCAAGGACTAGTCTAAGATGGATGCTAATGGGTTCATGGGTAGTCACCATGCAAAAAATATTCTTAAACTGCATTGCAAAGAACTGGTGTTCATGAAAGAAATAGACATAATCTATTGAAATGTGCTTAGTTTTGAACCCCTGCATGGTTTTAATAGCTTAACAGAAGATTCCCCTGTAGTAAGTTGGTCTATAAGAATAGGCATGAGAGGCCGGGCACGGTGGCTCAAGCCTGTAATCCCAGCACTTTGGAAGGCCGAGGCGGGTGGATCACGAGGTCAAGAGATCGAGACCATCCTGGTCAACATGTTGAAACCCCGTCTCTACTAAAAATACAAAAAATTAGCTGGGCATGGTGGCGTGTGCCTGTAATCCCAGCTACTCAGGAGGCTGAGGCAGGAGAATTGCCTGAACCCAGGAGGCGGAGGTTGCGGTGAGCCGAGATCGTGCCATTGCACTCCAGCCTGGGTAACAAGAGCGAAACTTTGTCTCAAAAAAAAAAAAAAAAAAAAAAAAAAGAATAGGCATGAGAATGAGGAAATGTTGCCTAGAGGAAATGAGAGGGTCCAAGCAAACCATAGACATATCATTGGTTTTTTTTTTTTTGAGATGGAGTCTGGTTTGGTGGCCCAGGCTGGAGTGCAGTGGTGCAATCTCAGTCACTGTAGCCTCCACCTCCTAGGTTCGAGTAATTCTCCTGCTTCAGCCTTCGAAGTAGCAAGTACCTGCCACCACACCCAGCTAATTTTTGTATTTTTATTTTTATTATTTTTTTGAGAAGGAGTTTCACTGTTGTCACCCAGGCTGCCTCTTGGCTCACTGCAAACTCTGCCTCAAGGGTTCAAGTGATTCTCCTGCCTTAGCCTCCGAAGTAGCTGGGATTACAGGTACATACCACCATGCCCAGCTAATTTTTGTATGTTTAGTAGAGATGGCGTTTCACCACATTGGCCAGGATGGTCTTGATCTCCTGACCTCGTGATCTGCCCGCCTCGGCCTCCCAAAGTGCTAGGATTATAGGCATGAGCTACCGCGCCTGGCCTAATTTTTTATATTTTTAGTACAGATAGTGTTTCACATGTTGGCCAGGCTGTTCTGGAACTCCTGACCTCCAGTGATCTGGCTACCTCAGCCTCCCAAAGTGCTGGGCTTGCAGGCGTGAGCCACCGTGCCTGCCCCAGCCCTCTTTTATATTCCCTTTTTTGTTTTGTTTATATTTTCTTCTGAAGATTCTTTTTGAAAGCAGTTTTCTGAGTGATTTTGTTCCAGTAGAAATATGTGGTCTTTCCGTTCAGTCTTAACTTTTTGAAGGAGTTTTGACACTATAATATGTTGGCTTTATTTAACAACACCTCTCAATTCCCTTAATACTTTTTCTTTCAAGGTGGGTTTTTTTTTTAAGGTTATGTGGATTATGTTTAGTATTTGAGAACTTCATGACAACTTTGATTACCTGAAGTGTCATTATGTAGTAACTATGACTGCACTAGAAAACCCAAATGATGCCAAAACCACAGTAGAACCATGTTAGTAACCGTGGTTAGGGCCATTGTGGATTTAGCTAACCAAGATGTAAGGTGTTTGAAAACTTGTTGCATATGCAATGTGTAACATGAGTTATTTTTTCTTGTCTTTTTCTCCCAATTTGTAGGAGGCCCTCTTCATTGCTCGCTTCAGTCCTCCAAGCTGTGGTGTGCAGGTGAACAAGTTGTGGTACAAGCCCGTGGAACAGTTCATCTTACCAGAGGTACAGGGTGGCATGAAAAGACTGTAGGACCATTGCAGTCCTTCATAGGAGTGGGCATGTGCTTTCAGGGACAGGCACTTGATATTCTGTTGTGCCAGGCAGCACTCCAGAGTGAGAGATGAAGGTACCAACTGTGGATGTGCTAAAACGTAGCACTCTGCATTCAAGCTTCCTGAGGACTTCATGATACCTCAGGGGTTCCAAAACGACTTTTTGAAAAGCGTTGTACGTTGCTGTAGTTTATTTAGTGGAGTCGAGAACTGCACAACTGTTTTAATGACAAAGGATGGTGTTAGTGTGGGTTGATGGAAATAACCAGACAGAGAAACCATTTGGGTAAAATTAAACAGTTTGCTTATCTAAAGAATGAAAAGAAAAAAAAAGTTAGCTCAGAGGTGGACCACGTTTCCAAGTTAAACAAAATTTCTCCAACGGGCGAACAGTTGTGGATGATGGCCTGAAAATGTACCTGTCACCTCTGGGTCCAGTCTTAAGTAGATATGCACTAAAGAATGCCTCACCTGCCAGGTACACTCATTAGTCCTAGAGTTAAACCACAGTGTGGTTGCTGAGTGGGACAGAATCGGGATCAGACATAAACAAATTATTCATCCATCAGCTTCAGTCTTTCTAGGCTTTTTTAGTCTAGACTGAGTAAGTTCCTGAACTCGGTGCTCTGGAACCACAATTCGGTCAGTTTCCTAGACATCTGTGGGACTCACGTTAGATCACCTGTAGAATTCATCCCACAGCATCACAGCTGAGTTAAAATGTAGGCTAGACAACTGACCGGCCCTAATGACTATCCAAGAAACTTTTTCCTACACAGTCTGTGGGGTGCTATTCACAATTTGTTCAACAATGGTAACCACACATTTTTATAACATACTATGGATCTCTGGAATTGAGTACACGTAGTTGAAACTGTATGTTAATTCTGCCATTGTCAAAGGGATCTCCTTTTCATCTGTATATGAACTTCCATTTTAAATACGCTACTCTCAGCATACTGCCTATGGGGTAGCCTGCTCCTCAAGATAAGTCAAAAAATAAAAAATAAAACTTTTGAATAAAAGCCAAGCTAAAACAGGGGGGTGGAAAAAAAAAGAAAATGCAAATAAGCTAAAGGAAAACAAGACTACTAGAATCTCATCATTTGGAAATAATCATGTTTAACATTTTTGCTTCTATGTATATAGTTACTAGGATTATGCCGTTCATTCTACTTTATAATTTACTTAAACATATGAACATCTTTTGATATGATATGCTCATTATTTTTAATGGCTCTGTAGAATGACGTTGTACGAAAGTATTGTCATTTAACTCTGTATTTGGGTATTGATATAGTTCCAATTTTTTGGTATTATGAAAAGACTAGTAAATATCACTGCACCTCTGTTTTATGTGTATAACTGGTTATTTTCTTAGGATGAATTGTTGGGTCAAAGGGCATACGCATTTTTAAGTCACATGATTCCTTCCTGGAGAGGAGTTTAGCAATTTGTATCAGTGTGAACAATTACTAGCAATATATGACAGAGTGCCTGTTTCCCTACTCCTTTTATTCTTTTTAATTTCACATATGAACTTTTTTCCTTTTTAAGTGAAGTAGGTACCATGAAAGCTATCTTTTACTTTAAGAATAGTGGTTCAGCTACATAGTGTTGGATCTCAGTTTTTGCAGGAAGCCATTCTTTGGTTTGTTCATTCACATGAGGTACTTAACCTCACCATGTCTGTTTCCTCCTCTGTAAGATCAAACTGCTACACCACCCATTTCAGATGGTTATTCTGAGGGGTAAATGATTTAACACATGTGCACTGCTTAGAACATGCTGCCACAGGGCACGCATTCAGTAAATCAATAGATGCTATTATTGCTCCTCCTCATCTGGATTGGGGAGCCCTGTTCTTTGAGAGCAGTGTTTTTTCACCAGGGGCAATTTGCCCTCCGCAGAGCAGTGATGGATATACTTTCAGTTGTTAAAACTGGATGTAGGGTGATAATGGCATCTAGTTGATAAAGGGACAGGACTCTGCTAAACATCCTGCAGCCACAGGACACCCCCCCCCCACCAGCAAAGAGAATTATCTGGCCCAAAATGTCATTGGTGCTGAGGTTGAGAAACGGTATTCCAGAGGACAGTCACATGAAGTGGGGCAAAGAGGAAGAAAATAAACTTTAATACTTCAAGCTAATCACAATTTTATGGAGTCTGCTCCATTATCTTGGTCAGCCTTACAGAAAGAATTGCAAAATTTGATTAGTTCATAAAAACATTACTTTCACTTAGAATGTCCTTGTTCTTGGGAGATACATGCTGAAATATGTAAAGTTAAAAGGTCATGATATCTGCATTTTATTTTCAAGTGATCCAACAATAGAAAAGTATATGTGTCGAGAGAGAAAAGGCAAATGTGGCAAAATGTGAACAACTGATGAGTCTGGGTGATTTGAATGGTAATTTGAACTATTCTATAGGTTTGAAGTTTTTCAAAATAAAAATTGTGTTGGGGAAAAGGGTTTTTATTTTTGAGACAAGGTCTGGCTTTGCTGCTCAGGCAGAAGTCTGGTGGCATGATCATATAGCTCACTGGAGCCTCAACCTCCTGGGCTTAGTTGATTCTCCTACCTCAACCTCCTGAGTAGCTGGTTGGCACTACAGGCACCTGCCACCATGCCACGCTAAAGTTTTTCTTTCTTTCTTTTTTTGAGATGGAGTTTTGCCCTGTCACCCAGGCTGGAGTACAGTGGCATGATCTCAGCTCATAGCAACCTCTGCCTCCCAGGTTTAAGTGATTCTCCTGCCTCAGCCTCCCAAGTAGCTGGGATTACAGGCACATGCCACCATACCTGGCTAATTTTTGTGTTTTTAGTAGAGATGAGGTTTCATCAGTTGGCCAGGCTGGTCTCAAACTCCTGACCCCAGGTGATCCACCTGACTTGGCATCCCAAAGTGCTGGGATTATAGGCGTGAGCCACCATGCCCGGCCTAAATTTTTTAGTGTGTCACAATGTTGCCAGGCTGGTCTCAAACTCTTAGCATCAAGCAATCCTCTCACCTCCCAAAGGTCTGGGATTACAGGCTTGAGCCACCACACCAGGTCTAGTTATTAAGAGTTTTAATGACTATAGCCTTGTGCTTTTTATTTCCCTTCAAGGTTTAAGCTAAATAGACTTGATTTTATTACTTTTGTTAATTTTGTATATATTTTTTTTCTTTTAAAAACAAGCAGGCTAGGTGTGGCGCGGCTCAGGCCTATCCTCCCTGCACTTTGGGAGGCCAAGGCAGGCAAATCATTGAGCCCAGGAGTTTGAGACCAGCCTGGGCAACTTGGTGAAACACGGCCCCTATTAAAACAACAAAAACAACCACACACACAGAAAAGCAAGCAATTATTTAATAGTGGCTATACCTGGGAGGAGCTAAGATTATGGATGATTTTTATTTCCTTCTTTTTGTATATCTATCTTCTAAGTGTTCCATAATGAATATATATTAGCTTTATATAATAGAAAAAACAAACTTTTAGCAGTTAAAAAAAATCTTTCCTGTTGTACAAAATTCTATTTTTGTTGAAAATATGTTTAATTTTAAATACTCTTCTTTGCTGCATCAAGGGTGATTGGGTTTATTCACTCGGAAAAATAATAGTGATGGTTTGCTGGCATATCAACACAGAGTAATAGAAGAAAAATAGGTAGTGTATTCCATTTGAGAGAGGAAGTTCATCATCTTACTCCCTCTACACTTGGAGATTGCCTGGAGTCACATGTCAGGAGGGTAGCTTGTCCAGTAAGCAGATCACCTGTAAGGTTTATTCATTGTGTAGCTCACTAAAGCATAACCCTCAGTGGGCGTCACAAGTTTAAGTTAAGACTACTGTGTGTTTCTCTTAAAATATTTATGTCTCCAATTTTATGTTTTCCTTAATACTACATTTGGAACCTGAAATTAATTTCAGTAAAAAGCAGACTATTTTTGTTCACCTGAGTCACTAGTGACATTATTGTTAGCATTATGGACACTTAAATCCTTTTGTAAGTCGGAGTTTTACTCCTGCTGCCCAGGCTGGAGAGCAGTGGTGCAGTCTCAGCTCACTGCAACCTCTACCTCCTGGGTTGAAACGATTCTCCTGCCTTAGCCTCCAGAATAGCTGGGATTAGAGGTGCCCACCTCCACACCTGTCTTTTGTATTTTTAATAGAGACAGGTTTTACCACGTTAGCTAAGCTGGTTTCGAACTCCTGACCTTAGGTGATCCACCTGCCTCAGCCTCCCAAAGTTCTGAGATTACAGGCGTGAGCTGCTGCACCCAGCTTATATCCTTATTTTTATGAAGTTTGAAATTCTTTAGACATAGTCATTTCTGTAATCCACAAGAAGTTGTTAATGTTTATAGGCACAGAAGTACTGTGTATATTTAAGCTACTTTGTTGTTTGGATGAGAAATTAGAATTTTTATGCAAAGGAATTAATACATGACATGAGTTACAGACCAGTGAAGACTACTGTGTGTTTATACTATATTATATTATATTACTTGGCTTATATTATGGGAGAGATAATATATGATATCTCATTTTTCCAACCTGTACCTTGCTTTTTTCCTTTTATTTTGGTTTTTATGATCTTGGCAGGGAATCGCCATAAGCAAATTGTTTTGCATCTTAGGAGATACCTGGCTTCATAACTGCCTTACATCAGAATAAAAAGTAGGAGAGCAGAGATGAGGAATAGAAATTAAACTGTGTTGTGGAGCAGAAACAGGTACAGAAGACAGGTGGAAGATACAGCTCCTTCCTTGCTTAGTAACAAAACAGCTGGTAGGTTATGTAAGTTCCATGAATAAGTCAAGATCATATGGGGGGACTAGGGAATTATTCTGGTAATTATTCAGTTATTCAACGTTGTTGACATTCTTGTATCATAGCCTAATCACAGACAGAATGGAGTTGGGTGCCAGGAAGGACTCACTGTGAAGTAGCATGTCACA